ATATATATATATTTAATTTTTTTTCCAGGTTTGTGTATTTTGAATTACTAATTTGAATTTCTAATTATAATTGAAATTACTAATTATAATTTTCTTTAATGGGAGTGTATGTAAACTGTCAAGCACAACAGTGTGTTAAAAAGTTGAAGGAATTATGACAACTTTTGTAAGAAGTCTTTGCCACTGATACTACTGTACAACGCTGCAGCCTGTTTAATAATGTGCAGAGTGGGACATAGATGGACGAGACCTGAGGTACACCGACAGCTTCATGAATACTTCAAATACTTTGAAAATGACTGATGTACTTACACATCTTTGGAGGCTTCTGCTGGCCCTGAGAACAGAAAAAAAATACAGAGATTTGATTTACTTTGACCATCAGATGAAAGACAGTATGCTTAATTATGAACTTATGAACTTTTTAATTCTGTCCTTAGGATTATTGGATCAAGGATAGCCAATAATAGGAGGTTTGCAGCAGACTCATAAGGAATTTATTAAGGGTGATTGTAATCCTCTTTATTCATGCAGTTAAAACCTCAGATTTCTGAAGGTTTTATTAAGTGCACACATTAAATCACATCAAGGCACCGTCAATTATTGATTTTTTTTATTCTTTCGTTTTACGATTGACTTGTAATGATCTTTGCTTGTCTGACTGTCAAATAAACTAATAAATAAAAATCAGTTAAGCTATGTCATTTATTTTTTAATCATTCACGTGGACCATCTCCTGGTCTTTGCTACCACAACATGCTATCTTCTAAAAATGTTACTGCACAATGACGACACAAGAATTATGGTAAACTGAATTATCAAGACATCTCAATGTGAACAAAATCTGTCCAAATTACAAGGCTGAAATGGTAACCCTGCTGATATTCAAAAGTATATTAAAATTAAAGCATTGGTCCCTCTTTTGAGGTTAGGCTTTTCCTAATTATGGTTTTATGTGTATTTGCAGGTATAAATGTAAATGAGAATACCATTGTTTTAATTTAAGGCTATAATTATTATAAAAAATGTAACATGGTTGCTGAAGATCACACGGTTCTTTTTAAATAATTTAAATTATACAGAGACCAAAATTATTGTTCCTCTAAGAAATTCAATGCAAAATACCAATCAGCTAAACAAAATATATAGATAAATATTAACCAAATGATATCAAATTATCGCCTTATAGTATAATAACTGAAATATGATTTGGACTGTACGCAAATAAATTGGAATCCAGCCATTTAGTAAGATGTGAACTCAACCATAAGTCTGCTACAATACCTATATGTCATATCACGGCTAATTTGTACAATATCATCATAAATATCAGAAATAAATGGTGCAATTCTTTTTTTTTTTACCTTTAACATTAAGTTGCAGAAACACTTATTCATCAGGGCATTTGTAAAACAAATTTGGTATATGTACTGAAATAGATTATGCTTTGCCCACACCTGGTTGATCTCGACTGAACCATAACTTTATGTAACATAGCAGAATTAGCCTTGGTTTTTGTGGCCTCAGTGGAGAACTCAGTGTTCTTTTACTCCTCATTGAACCAACAAGCATTTAATGTTTGCCAATTTACATGTGCTCCATGGCGATCGTGTTAAGCTGGAGGACAATTTAACACTCCCCTTGCATGTACAGATCAATGGGGCAGAACAGTGTAGAGAGAGAAATGAGTATGAATGTCCTTCAACTAAATGTGCAAAATATAACCTTGAAACATTAAACTTATACGTATTTGTAGAAAGTTAGATACTACAGATATAGAATTAACTTTTTTTTTTGAGAAAGAGAATTAGCTTTTCTCTGTGAAGCTTTTGAGTCTGCCAAAGCAACAAGGAGGCCTTTTCAGTGCCGTCAACAAAAGCTCATTCATATCCAAGGCTGCGCATCTTTGTGCACAAGACTTTAGCCGAACAATGTGACATATAGTGTGGTCCTTTGACTGAACTCAATAAGGCCAGGGCTCGAATTCATGATGTTTTTGTCTAACTTGACTTCGACGCCTCCTAAATGATCCCAGCAGTAGTTCTGATTTGGATTTCCACAAAAATTAACAAACAGTAACATTAATCGCGAATAGTTAACATGTAATTATTAAAGAAACTAAGATGATGATCTTAATTTTTAAAGATACTATCCAGAGCTAATTTTCTTTCACTTGCAAAGACATTTCTAACCCACAGACAGAATAAAAACAGCTGAGCCATGAAGCACTGCTTTCCAAAGCAAGATTTGAAAAAGTCTTCATAATGTAGAAACGGCTAATTCTGCTTAGTGAGCATTTGGGGTAATGATGCAGCGATGAAGCGCATAAGCTTACGTTAGTAAAAATTATGGCAGACCAGCAGGCTTTGACAGTTTGATATGTAGATTCTAATAAACATGAAGTCTAAATGAGTTAGAAGGGGTTTGGTCCTACATGTTAGACCTTCTCCTTTTATGATTAAATACTGTAAGTATTTACTGTTAGGTGAAGAACCAAGTCCTGGCTAATAAAAACCCTCCTATACTTGGATGTACCTGCTAGCACACTGAGGGAAACTGCAAGAAGGACAGGCTTCAATTTTCTTTGCCTATGTCGAAAAGAACTGTTCACCTAAGTGCAGGCTGCTATCCCAACTATAGAGACCTAGTTTATTTCTGATTTTGTGTCTTGTGAACATCAGCAAACTTAACTTTTGACTCCTTTTAATTACTCTTTGCTAACTCCATCTGCATCATTTATTTAAGTTCTTTTTTTTTAATTCTTCATTGATAAAGTGTAAAGGGCTGCTCAGTGGCGCAGTGGGTAGCACTGCCGCCTTGCAGCAAGAAGATCTGGGTTTGATTCCCAGCCCGGTTCTTTTTGCATGTTCTCCCTGAGCATCCATGGGTTCTCTCTGGGTACTCTGACTTCCTCCCACAGTCCAAAAACATGACTGTTAGGTTAATTGTTTTCTCTAAATTGTCCTTAGGTGTGAGTGTGTGTGTGAATGGTTGTTTGCGTGACAGAAAATGGATGGATGATAAACTGTGCTGTAAGGTCTTTATCCTCTCTTTGTCCCTAGATCCACCTGTACCGCCTGCTACTTATGCCTTTGTAGGATAATTTAGTCCTGTGACTATGTCTCTCTTTATCTCTCAAACAATATCAAGCATTCATAGGACAACATGTTTTACTGGCATGTCCTTTAAACTTAATTTTATTATTTTCTGTAATTTGGTTTAAAAAATGTAATTCATATTCCAAACATCAATTACAGACAACAGTTTTAATTTTCATTTTATTTTCAATAGTTTTACAACTAATCTAAAAAATATGTATGTTACATGTGAAGAATGAAAAAGGAACAACTTATTAATTAATTTTATAGTCTACAATTTCAAAAGGAACACTAGTAAATTGACAGGTGTGCAGCAAATGGTCTCCTGACAGTTACTGTTAGACATTATTGCTAAAGAAGCCGGCTCTGTGACATATCCAAGCATGTTTTTGAAGAGTTGAGAGGAAGGAAGAAAAAGGTGCACAAGCTTTGAGAGGATTATAATAACAAAAATCCTCCTTTTAGTGAGGACAGTGGTTGGTTTTAGAGTAATAAGTCCTATTAAACACCAGATATGGGCTACAAGTGTTTCATTCTCTACTTTTCAGCCTCCTTCAAATATAACATTTACACCATAATTCATGCAAAATTAGCTTCAACCAAGGAGGCTTTTGTATCTAAACACACCTTTTTGTTGATCTCATGTTATGTTGTAATATACTGGGAAAATGAATTGGAATTTTTAATTGGTTGTAACCTATAATAATCTGAATTAAAATACTTTGTTTGAAATATTTAAAAGGTTATGAAATTAATAAAAAAAAAAGATAAATACCCCTTGCTTATTAAAGAATAAAGTAATCATCTAATTTGCCAAACATGCTACATCTGACTAGAGAATCTGAGCTAACAAATATGGCCAGAAGGGCCTTTAAACTTTAAATGACAGGAGCTCATATATTTAAAATTTATATGCTAGTGAAAACAAACTGGTCAGCAATTATAAGAGTCTATTGCTGTAAAGCCTATCAAAATCCTCCATTTCTCCATTGTCCCCCATTGTTGATGATAGGAGTTTTAAATTTTTTAACATGCAATGTTTTTATAAAACAAAAATAAATACTTTTTTTTTCAAAGTAGAAAAAACCTATCACGTGAAATTAATCTACCGTAAATCTGGATATGAGTTTGAACTTTTAGACTGAAATTCCTGACATAAATTCAAGATGCACCTAAAGTTTTTTTTTTTTTTTAGCAACCATGATATTGAGCATAAAGTCTGTCCTGGTCCTGTTGAGAGGTTTTAAAACAAAATACAAACATATTTCTGCAGCTAAACAGGTAGCTTCTGTCAGGGATTGGTTGAGGTTTTGAGGACCCAATTACAAAGGCAAGGATGCAGAGGTGAGAGTTTAATGGAGGAATCACAGGTAACAGAGGCAGGAATTTAAAAATTCAACTTAAAAATGCAAAACAAACCAGAACCACGGAGATTTCATGGAAAACATGAATGAGGAGCAAGGGAAAGATGGGGAAAGACGAGGAACCAGCACTGAGGAACTGCACAGGAAAAGTATTTATGCCTGACTGAACAAAGACAGGACTAATGAGCTGATTGGGAGCAGGTGTGAACAGAGGCTTCTAGAAAGGAGCTAGAGAAAAGGAGACCAACACAAGAGGGCAACAGAGGGCAACAAAAAAAAAACTAAGAACTCAAATACATCCAGAAAACACAACAAAATATGAATTAAATCAATAAAACAAGAAAACAAAGAAAAACACAAATCAACGTGAAACTGAAAACTCAAAGAAAACTTAACAGAACCAAGACCGTGACAGCTTCTAAACTACAAGGAGAGAAGAATTCTACAAAAAATCTTAAATAGAAAAACAAGAAAGAAAATGTTCCACAAACGTATTCACAGGAGCTTTAAACAATTACTCAGTGTCTTATATGCACTTTGAAGGTTTCAAAGTGCATATATATATTTTTTTATTGATTTGAAAACAATCTACAAAAAAGAAGCCAAGAAATAGGAAAATGATCAAGACTAATCATATGAACTTTATCTAAAGTATGTTTAAATACCTCACCAAAAGCTCAAGATGACTGATTTAATTTTGCAACTTAAACCAGTGTTCTTTGACACAGGCCTGGCATCAGCTGGCATGGACAAATAAGAGCAGCAGCAACGCCCAATTTATCAGTGTGATAGGATGACACACACCCTTGACACTCTTCTGATCGCTGACCTCTGAGACTAAGCAAATTAAAAATGGATAAGGCCGACGGTGCAGAAAACATAGAAAACGTCCGCCCCATTGCAGAAAAACATGATACAATCTACAGGGAGCTACTTAGAAGTTGTTTACTGGCCATGGAACCTCAGAGTGGATCACATTTAGACCAGCAGCTGTGATTGGCTATGTTAACATGCCTGGCAAGCACTGATTAGGTACCTGCAAGCACATGTGCATTTTACACAAGCACAAACACTCCCATTACACCGCTTTAATGGGTAGTGCTGCTGGTGAGGTAATTCTGCAGATACTTCAAACTAATTATTACCTAGACAAGACTTCTATATGTGAGAGAGCCTGGAGATTTTCTCAGGTATAATTCACTATCATTTATAACATATTCTTCGGATCAGTCTTAACCAAGTAACTGAGATGTGTTAGATGAAAAACAAGCATAACACTGATTAAGGGTTAGAAACACAAAAAGATAAAGAAATATCCCTGATTAACGTGTGTTCTTCAGGTTGTATGAAAGTAAGTCTGCAGATTATTTAGTATTTCAGTGACGCCTGCATTCAGGACATACTTGGCGGTGGCCAAGTATGGAGACAAGGATGGGTGAATGTCAGCTTTGCCTTGGAAAGCAAAACAGCAGGATCAAAACACACAAAACAAAACAATCTGCAGATTTAACTCTGTTAAAGTCAATATTCTTCAAAGATACATATGTTTCAGTCAAACCAGACAGATTTGCATCAATATCTTTATAGGATTATCACTCAGTTTATGATTCATGATTATAAAATATAGATTCTGCAATTTGTTTAAATCTCTTTTGGTATTACTCTAAAGCAAAAAACACTAACATAAAGGAGAGGAATTGTTTTCATGAATGAAGTCAAGTGACCAAGACCCACCAGCAAGTTCCTATAAAGATGCACTTGTGAGCGTAAGGGTTACCCTGGCATACTTCATTTACATTCAAAATACCTTCGCCCTTTCCCACAGATGTAGTGACAGCCTCTCACTGACATCCACTCATCATAATGCTGGCTGGCACATCCGGACACAGATTCCTAAAACACTCACCCCCTCCAGAGGTGCTGGTGGCTGAGGAATTGCCACAACCCATTTTGCATCGATGCAGCCACCGTCCAGGCAGAGATGAGATGTTCAGGGAGAGGAAGGATATAGATGAGAGGAGGGAAACCCACAACACATTGGAGGGAGGAGAGAGAGGGGTTTGTGGAAGTGTAAAAAAAAAAGAAGGAAGGTCAAGGAAATGGCTCAGAGGAATCCCCTTTGGTCATGTGCTTGAGTCCTGCGCCGTTCTGCACTGCGAGTCTATGGAGAGCTCAGATTGAGGGGAAAGCACTGAGACGCTTTTATACGTAGACACATTCAGAGAGAGTGACAGAGAGGGAGAGTGGGGGGAGATAGAGAGAAAGATGCTTTAGCCTCACATGATTTGCTCTTTTTCTCCACCCTGACATGGTTGCCCGGGAAACCAGGGTAAAGAAGGCGGAGGGTGGAGTGTGACTCTAACCAATGGGGAGCTTCTGTTTTACATGAAGGTGTAAAAAATTGACTGTATTTAAGGGCATCAATATAACAGCCTGTGGGAGAGAGATGCTTGCTGTAAAATTCCCAAATTGCTTTTGTGTGAGGAAAAAAAAAACAAAAAAAAAAACAGGACCTTTGTGAGGGTTTTGTGTTGATAAAGCTCACAGTTGAAACTGACTCCTCTGAGCTCTAGCAAAACAAATCCAGTCACAGACCAATAAAAATACTGAAAAAGAGACAACAAGGATCAAATGATGCCCCCTACTATTACTCATGGAGCTTGGTTTTATTTCAGTTATGCTTTTTGGGACCTTCCCTCAACAGACACTTTTAACAGCTTTTAATACTATGGTAATCCTTGCAGGTGTTAAGCATAAAAACCCAGCTAAGATTTTTCTCCTCAGTCTTTCATCATGTTCTTTTCTAAACTTAAATAATCTAGTCATTTTTCATTTCGCCTCGACCGACATGCATTAAGAATGTTATATAAAATTACAAAATATCCACTTTATTTGGTTTCCAAGATTTGAAATCAAATCTTGGAAACAAAGAAATCATATCTTGGAAACCAAGTCCAGTGGATTTTTTGAACTTTTACGGAATGACTATGACCTGGATGACTGAGAATCTTCATCAGCAAAATTACAAAACGTATTGTTTTTCCAACAAGCCAGAATAATAAAAAAAAAATTTCCTAAATTTAGATTAAGATAATTTGAAATATCTTTTTTTTTTTCTTTTTTTCCAGCTTTTATTTTCAGATAACTGTCACAGGTACAGAGCAGCGTAATGAACTCTCTGCATTTAACCCATCCCCTTGGGAAGCAGAGGGCTGCCATTGCGCGGCGCCTGGGGAGCAGTGTGGGGTTAAGGGTCTTTGCTCAGAGAGCCAGAGTGGCAGTCTGTGGGATTGTGGATCAAACTTAGAACCTCAGGATTCCAAGTGCAATGCCCTAACCACTAGGCTGCCACTCCCCTAAAAAAGGGTTATTTGCAGACGATACAAGTGTGTTTTACTCCCATAAAAACCCTGAAATTTTAATAAAGGTAGTTAATGAAGAACTTGACAAGTTATCCTGGTTCAAGTCCAACAAATTGTCACTTAACATAAAAAAAAACAAGTTTATATTTTTTGGTTATAAGTTTGATACATTTAAATCTCCAATGAAAATTCAAATTGATAATACTTCTTTTAATAATGTTAGATCTGTTCGTTTCCTCGGTGTTATTCTAGATTATTCTTTATCCTGGAAACCTCACATTAGTGCCATAAGTACAAAAAATAGCCAAAGTGGTCGAAAAATCCGGCACCTGATTAACAAAAAAGTTGCAATTATGTTATATTATTCAATGTTATATCCCTATATTAATTACTGTAATGTTGCTTGGGCTAGCACCCACCCAACTAAACTTGAATCTGTTTTTCGACTCCAGAAGCGCGCTTTAAGACTAATATTTTGTGTAAATCGTAGACACACCTCCCAACCACTGTTTGCTCAGGCAAGTATTCTTAATGTTTATCAAGTGAATCAACTTCAAATAGCTTTATTCGTTTATAGCAACTTTTTCGGCAGTTGTCATCACATTTTCTTTTTTAGTGAAACATTATTCTATTTTTATGTTTTTGTTGTGAAAATAAAATAAATTCAATAAAATGAAATAAAAAATAATAGCATTGTGCATTATGTTGTTATGGGTTTTTTGCAGCAGCCATTTTGCTGTTCATGAAATACTTTTGTAGAAATACTCTAGCAAAATATCAAGCAACGGGCTAAAAGAAGTTAACATTTTTACAAAGAGCAAAGCAACGGGAATGAGGTTTAGCTATTCTGAGTCCAAGTCCATAGCTCTCAACCAAACTTCTCTCAGTGTCAGAGTGGAGTTCAAAATATTGAAGCTCCTGTCCACGAATGAAGGGAAAAAGGAACGAGATTGACAGACTAATCAGTGTAGCTGTAGCAGTAATGTAGACTCTGCACAGGCCTGCTGTGGTGAAGAGGGAATTGAGCCGAAATCAGAAGCTCTTAATCTACTGGTCCATCTACATTCCTACTCTCAGCTATGGTCATGAAATCGTCATTACGACCTAAAGAACTTCGCAAAAAAGGTTAAAAACAATCCACTGCGTTGTGCAGGAGGAGCAGTGGTTAGTGTGCACGACCCATGTACTGAGGCCTTAGTCCTTGACGTGGGCGACCCGGGTTTGAATCCACACTGTGGTCCTTTTCTGCATGTCTCTCCCTCTCTATCATATCCCCTTCCTGTCAGCCTAATGCTGAAAAAAAACAAACCACTATTGAATTAAAAAACAAACAAAACAACAAAAAAAAATCCACTGCACATTGTTTCCAAATTTGAAGACCTAAAGCACAAGATTCTTGGTACAAGTGGTTGAAATGGGATTTTTTTCACAGGGTGACTGAGCATTCCATTAGAGATAGAGAAGAGCTGGACCATCAGATTGTGGTCGGGAGTAGAGCCGCTGCTTTTTGACACTGTGAGGAGTCAGCTCCGGTGGCTCCAGTGTCTGTTTCCTAGCCCCCTTAGCGCTTTTCCTAAAGAGTTATTCAAGGCACGTTCCATTGAAAGGAGTCAAAGGGACGTCCCAGGACATGCTGGGGGGATTCTGTCTCACCTGGCCCCAGAGTACCTCAGACTTTTCTCAGGAGAGTTAGAGAAGCTGCCTGGAGAGAGGGAAGACCTAGTCCTGGATCAAAGAGAAGATGATAAGACCAAGTAAACATTCTAAACTAATGTGGTCATGTGTTTTACTTCAAATGAACAGTTTTAAAAAAAAAAGACACTTAACCTGGACTCTTTCAACGAGGTATTCGCTCTGCTAGCTGCTATCCTAATTATACTTATTAAGGTTCTTGTTCTCCAGTTTTCAGACTTTTTTTCTTCTTGCATTTTAACAACATCAACAAAAAATGTCATTTGCACAAAAAGGAAATGGGAGTCGGTAGTCTTAATGACACAACAGATTACAGTAATCTGTTGTACAAATGCTGATAAATGCAAGACCCACACATAGAAACTGTTTTTTTATTTTTTATTTTTTATTTTGAGCGTTCCATTTCTGGAGATACAAATTCATAAAAAATAGAAGCTCAGATGCAAGAATATTAACAAAACCCATATGTACAAAAATGCCATTTGACTATATGTCCACAGTGACCACTAAGCATAAATCGACTTAATGACTGGGGAATATGTGAGGTTGTGGCAACAGGTTGTTTAGATGCTTGGCGGGTGTGTTGCTGTTTCCCTAATTCCAAAGATTCCCTAATAATGTTTAGAGCCCTGCTTCTGCAGCAGCTCTGATACGGATCCTACAGAGAGTAGGGACTCTCAAATAACCCTTTTAGCTTCCCTAACTGTCCTCTGCCGGGCCCCTCTGTTTACTTTTCATCTATTACAGTGTAATAATAAAGTATACCACGTATTCATTAACTTATTATCAAATGAGCATTTTCTTTTTAGAAAGGATGTGCGAGAATATTTTCCTATCCACAAAATCTGAGGAAAGATGGGCGTGTAAAATCGGTTTCAGTGTGGAGATTGTAGTATTTTGATGATAAGATTGTTGGTACTCTAATTTGGGTTTGCAGCACTGTAACTTGGATTAACAAGTTTGATAAATTTTTGGTTAAATGCATTCCCTCAACTTTATATTTCCTCCTTTTAACCAGGGGATTAGGTTTGTGTCTAGACAATTCATAACCAATTTCCTTATCACTTGGCATTCAATAGGTACTTGTATAAAAGAATGCCATTCAACCCTCCAGAGATGGCCTTGTCTATTCCAAACTACTGAAATAAACCTCTGCAGGGAATATTATTCTGCATGATAACAATACGCACTAACTCTGCACTCGCCTTTTAATAGCATCTATCATTGTTGGGCTCAAATGTTTTAAAGGGCAGTATCTGGCAGACATAGAAAAATTTCAACAATGAGCTTTTACACTGAAATATGAATATGAAACGTGAATAACAATTTAAAAAAATGTCTTCCAAATGCTCTGTTCTTGATTTTAAAACCTAATTTCTGCAGAAATGGAAATTTGAGGCATAGATTATCCCTAAAATTTTGGTGTGTTTTTTTTTTTTTTTTTTGCAAGGTAGAAGTGATTGATATTTTATCATATAGATATCTCCCATAGCATATTCCATGAGAGATAGGTCGGTCCTAAGTAGAGCCCAAAGCAAGGCTGTCAGGGACTTTTTATTTAAACTGAAGCTTGGGCAATGTTTAACAACCATTAATGTTGCTGAAAACAATATCTAAAACTAAAACACTGTAAGCTTTTCTAGTCAAAATGATCATGCAAATCTATAAATTATATATATTAATGTTGGTATTCAACTGAAATGCAGTTCAAATTTTCAAAAAACTTTAATAATCCCAAACGGAAATATGTTTGAGTAACTCATGGGCAGTTTCTCAACAAGATGTTATGTGTGTTGATAGCTGTGGCCAGGAAGGAAGGAAGGTAAGTCCGGCTGAATAGTGTTAAATGCACAGGAGGAATCAAACAACAGCGTCCTCACATGAACTGCTATGATTTTTTTTTTGAGTCCGGGTTTTATGTTAGGGTGGTCAAAAATGGCATGATCTCTGTACCTTTTAGAGAAGCTCTTGGTTTCAACCTCCAAGGCTAAATAATGCTGCTTTAAATGCCAAAATAACTCAGCAAATCTCAACTACCTGTTTAAGGGATTCATATTTAGCACCTAACCTTTAAATTTAGAATCTACAAATATTTCCAGCCCCTTAAACTTGTTAAGTTTGTATAAGGTAGGAGGTTATTTTGCAAGTTGAATAATCAACAGTCCT